AGCAGCAAGGAGACAGAAAGAAGCTGAAGAGGTAATGCACAGATGCGTGACTTTTTAACACAGTGACCCTGCACTCTAGCGAAGTGGCCCAACCCAGTGGCTTTCAACCAGAATGACCAAATTGTGTTCCCTTTTCTTGAGCAGGAGTAAGGACAAAGAAGTACAAAGAGAGAGGGAAAGGATGAGAGGCATCGCTGTCAGGTGGGGAAAGAAGGAATTGTGACAGACACTTTCCACTGAAACTGCTTTCATTACATTTGTTTAATTTAAGTCTTTGTTTAAATTAGGCAAAAGTTCTTTTATATTCACTTTCATGAAAAGAAGAAAAAAACAAGTTGTATTAATAGGGTGGCTCACATGAGTTCCATCTGAGTTTTCATTGCATTACTAGTGTAATAATGACATTGGATTTCTGGTGTGCTGGGAGTTTGTGAAGGCCCTGCCACCATATCCTTAGCCCCTAGAGGTCCAGGATCATGTCTTTTTTTATCTTTATAAACCCTATAGTGCCAGAACACAGTCTGTGTTTAATAAATATTTCTGGAATTGTAACAACTTGATAGGCTGAGCCTGCATTCCTTCAATAGGTCATTTCTTAAACAGGTAACTTGGTAGTACATGCTTCTCCCTCCCTCCTGGAGTCTAGCAGAAACCTCTTGGAGATCAGAGCTCAGATTTCATAGTAGAGGCCACAAAGTAGTGCTGTTTGAATCTCACTCAGCTTGCAGGCATGTTTTATTAGCCTGAGAGGTAGACTTCCCATGAAGTTAATGAAGCTTAAGCTTCAGGGCCCTCTCTCCCACTTGCACCAGCACTGGGGGTACTGGGAATTCTAGAGATTTCCAGGAGGGAAGAGGAAGCCAGAATTCAATTAACAAACATTTCTGGTCAACTGACCAGAAACATTTCTGAAACAACTGACCATTTCTGGTCAGTTGACTGAAGGACCTTATGAGAAAGGAAATGAATCTTCCATGCTCTAGTTAGTTGTAATTCCATTTATCAATCTAAGTCAATAGTCACACTGAACACTAACCATCACATTTCTAATTTTGCACTTGTTTTGTTTGTTTATTTTAAAGATTTTATTGGGGAATTGGGGAAGGGGAACAGCGCTGGGGAATCGGGGAAGGGGAACAGACAAGTTGCTGTCCTTTTGGTCTTCAGTCTATTTGTGGAGGATGTCGCTTCACTGGCCCATGTTAGTATTATGATCATTGCATTCTTCCTGGCTGAGGCAGTTGGTCTCTGGCCATTGGATGGCTGCTCACGCAAGCTGCCGGCCACTCACACTGGCTGTCAGGCACTCACGGTAGCTCACAGCAACCCACTGCAGCCTACGCCATCGCTGGCTACTCACAGCAGCCCAGCTCCAGGTCGAGCTGTTGTTCACCATCTTAGCTGTAGAGGGTGCAGCATCACTGGCCCATGTGAGATCCGAACCGGTGGCCCTGCTGCTCAGAGCTCACGCTCCCAAGTCAACTCTTAACCAACTGAGCCACTTGGCCAGCCCCTGCACTTGTTTTTTTAAAGGACCCCCCAAATTGTATGAAGTGCAGGTCCCACAAGCTGGATCTGCCCCTGGTTTACTCATACTGTATTTTTAAACTTATTTTAAAGTGACAGATAGTCGCTCACATTTTAAAAACTGATACATTGAACATTATAACTTGGATTTCAAGTTTGTTTGAACAACTGGAGGGAATGGCCACAAGTGTCTGTAGCCCCTCCCAAATGGCTACAGTCAACTAAAGCTAGGTCATGGCTGCCCCATGTGGACAAGTCATGTGCCCTCCGGTTTGCAACATACCTCCTCCCCCACCACATTCTCTCTTAACCCTGCCCCTATCACTTGAGTTTGCAAATCTGCCTTTACATTGTATGTGTACCAGGGCACTTGCCAAAGTGACTTGCAAAGGTCTCTAAGTGCATTTTCAATGAACGGATGAAAGAGGAACAAATGCTCCCCTGAAGGTGCTCATCAGACGTGTCAAAGAAAAATTAGAAAACAGACTAGAGGTGATACCAGGAACAGACACTTAGGACAAGAAGATGATGAGACCCAAAAAGACAGTGATGACCTGGGGTAAGCCCAGGGGCTTGTGCTAAGAAGGCGAGAACTGGAGGTCCTGAGTGACACACGTGAGCTGTCCCTCTGCTCACCACCCCCTCTGTGACCCAGTAGCTGACCACACGCTGACCTATAAGGAGGTTCATAAGGGGTCAGAGTTCAACCTCACTACCCTGAGCTGTGCTATGGACTCACGCCTACAGACACAATCACTCTCAGTTGGCTGAAGGCCAAGGACCACAGCTGTGGAAGGCAGACTTCTAAAGTGAACCTCAATGAGTTATATATAATCTTTGTATAATCCTTCAGCATAGGAAGGGCTGGCGAATGTGACAGATGACATTATCATGATTCGGTTGTGTTATATGGATAAATTAAAGAGATTTTGCAGATATCATTCCCAATTATCATACTAATTAGGAAATTAATATGATTTTGAGTTAATTAAAAGGGAATTTATTCTGGGTGGGTCTGACTAAGCTGATGAGCCCTTTAAAAAAGAATTCCCAGAGAGAGAGATTCTCCTGCAGACCTTGAAGAAGCAAGCCATGGTGAGTTCTAGAGCTGCAAGGAACTTAATTCTACCAGCAACCAGTGAGCTTGCAAGAGGATTCTAGGCCTCGGAGGAGACCACAGTCCCAGCTAACTCTTTGATTGCAGTCTTGTGAGACCCTGAGCAAAGGACCAGCTAAGTCAGGCCCAGAATTCTGACCCAGGGAAACTATTTGATAAGAAATGTGTGTGCTGTTTTAAGCTGGTAGTTTGTTACACAGCCATAGATAACTGACGGAAAAGAAAAAGCAAGCCATAACCATAACAAAAGAGGAGGTTTCAGGATTGCTTGGAATCAGCAGGAATGGTTGGAGATGAGGAGAGTGTCAGTGGAGGAGCCTAAAACATTCCAGGAAGAATTGTTGTGGGTCCACCAAATGTATTATTTCATTTAAGCTCCCCAACTCTTCTGGGAAGCATTTTTAACTCCATTTTACATGAAGATGCTGAGTGTCCCACAGGACTCAAATAACTCACTCCTGGTCATAGGGACAGTTTAGATTCAAGTGAAGCTCCTCCTGGTGCTAGAAGCTTCTGTGTCTCCTCTACATCACATCCCAGGCTCACTCTAGGCCTCAGGAGAGCAGGCCACAGAACAGCAAGGCAGAGGAGACGTGCTGCCTGGGTGATCAAACTATAGGACAGAACTTGGTGGCATGCTGTTGCTGCAACTGTCCACTGCCCCCAAAGCACAGCAGGCTATGCTGCTTCCCTTGGGGACACCCTCATCTAATTCCACCCCAAATTTTTTTCACAAAAAAATGCTTGCATAGAGAGGAGGAAGGATGAGCTTCTATATGAGCATATTTATATCTGGAGATATTCCATGTCATAGGGGGTATAAATCCCAGAGGGCAATGTCAGCAACTCCACAGTATGATGGGAAAATTGAAGAGGGCTATGGTTACCAGCATTTACCAGATGCACTCAAAAAAGAAACTGTTCTCTCCCTTCCTCTCTCTCACTCTCTCTCTCTCTCTCTCTCTCTCTCTCTCTCTCTCTCCCCCTCCCCCCGCCCCCCTTTTCCTTTACAGAGGAAAAACAATTTACTCCTCTCCAACTCATCTAGGTCAGGCAGACCCTTACATTCAATGCTGGCTTCAGCTGTTTTTATCACAACTTTCACTGAAAAAAATTATTCTCCGCCAAGTTGCCATCTCAGCTCCATAACCCTCAGGATAAAAATCTGTTTGGCTTTCTTTTGTTTTAAATGTTGCTCAGAATAGTTTTTTCTCTACTCATAATTTAGCAATGTTCTGTATCCCACCCATCTCTTCCCCAAAGAGTGCCTCCCTGCCCAGGCGTCATCAAGCTTGCCAGCTTGATTCCAGGCTCCTGTGTGTCCCCATTCCCGAACCACCCTCCACCTGGCCTGCCTTCATTGAAGACCAGGAGCCTGGGGCTCAACTAAGGACTACAACATGCTGTGGAAAGAGGGGACATGCTGTGTCACAGGCAGAATAGAGCCCTCTCTTCCCAGTTCACATCTTAATCCCAGGAATCTGTGACTATGCTACCTTACATGGCAAAGGTGAATAAGGTAACAGATGGGATTAAGGTCGATAATCAGCTGAATTTACACCAGGGTTTATTCAGGTGGACCCAATATAATCTCAAAGGTCCTTCACTGCAGAAGGTGAGAGGTCAGAGCCATACCACGTGATAAGAACTTGACCCACCGCTGCTGGTTTTGAAGATAGAGGAAGAAGCCACAAGCCAGAGAACACGAGGGGGGGGGGCTCTAGAAGCTGGAAAGGGCAAGGAAACGACTCTCTTCTCAGATTCTCCAGAAGAGAATGCAGCCCTGCCATCACCTTGTCGTAGCCAAGTGAGACCCACTTCCGACTTCGGACTTCCAGAACTTCAGAATAATAAATTTGTGCTGTTTTACGCCACTGGGCCTGTTACAGCAGGATGAAGAAAGTAATGTACTCTATGTGGGAAAGTTACATAATCACTGGGATGCTCATGACATCTCATCGGGCTGTATACAGGCTCCTAGGCCACTGCTCTCAAAGGGAACATGGGTGGGCTCGCTCTGCCTCCTTTCTGACACATCAGGAATTACGTGGTCCATCACGGAAGACCTTATTTACATAAACGAATGGTCAGATCCAAACTGTGAACTCAAGAATCCGAGAATTCAGGCAGAGGCCCAAACTCAGGAAATGAGAAATTGTCCCACGGGCCATTGTCCCCTCGGGTTTTCACCTGTCACCGACTGATCTTTGAAGGGTTTAGGGTCTCCTGAGACATAAGCAGGCACTTATGTAACAGATGGTATTTGGAGGCCGACGTGCATGGAAGATTGCAAATAAATTCAATCCAACCTTATGTACATATGTAGTTTGGTTTTTATTTTCTGTGCCACCAATTATTAAGCACCTTCTTGAGAGCAGGGTCTTCATTTTATTTATTGATGAGCCTGTAACACCTGGATGCACAGTAACTCAGCGTTCAATTTGGAATGGATTTTCCTCTAAAGAGGGGAGTCACCGGTAGCAAAAGCCTTGGAGCCTTTCCATGCTAAGTGCAACCCCAGCTCTGCCATCACCTTGCTCTAGAGACCCCTCCCCTCCCTCCTCCAGTCCCACCTTATGGAGAGCCCAGAAGGTCGTTCAATTCCTGTGTCTTCCCTCGGAGGGAGAGCACTGTGTCCCGGCTGGATCTGCAGACACCCTGAGTCATGTTTGTCCAGAAAGCGCATATTCCAGGAAACCGAAAGGCTTTTAATTTTCTCCGTAGACGTGTATCCAAGTCTGATATTGGAACTGAGAGATATATACAGTCTCTGCCTGTGCCCTGAGCCCTTCAAACAGGGAGAGAATGGGGGACTCTGGTCTGTTGGAAGTTGTGTGTATCTGGCAAGTGGTCCGGCTTATCTGCTCTCGCAAGGCGCGCGCGTCCCTTCCCGGGTATGAGATCCCCGCCGCGCCGCCTCCCAGGCTGTAGCGGGGAAGCGGGAAAGCCCCGGAGGTTCCCACCCGCCCAAGCCCAGCCTCTGGGGGACCCGAATGCCCGCAGCGTTTGCACAGCTTGCAAGCCCAGGCGCTTTGCAGCCCTCCTTTCTGTCCTTCCGGCCCCTGAACTCTGCCCCGCGCGGGTGCGGGACCCAGGCCCTGCCTCCCCGCGCCTCCGCGTCGGCTCAGCCCGCTGCAAAGAGTTAAGACCCGGCTCCCGAGACGCCCCCAGCTGCTCCAAGTGCCAGGTCCCCGCTCGCCGCTGCTGATTGGCTGAGCTCCTGTCAGTAGTAAAAAAGTATCAGATAGCAAACTTGGGACCTTCATAAAGGCGTGGTGGTGATACTCCGCAATCGCGGGCGGCCTATGACATCAGCCAAGAACGCCTGGGATGCCGCTGCTCCTGGCTAGACACAGGAGGAGGAGGTTCCTGCCGGCTAAGAGTTAATCAGCCCCGCGCAGCGAGGGGGGAGCCGCCAGGTTTCTGGGGACACTGGTTTCGGACACTGGCGGCCACTGTACTCCTACCCAGGGGAGCTCACGAAGAGTTGGATGAATTCTGGTTTGTTAGCTGCGGTCAGCTGGGCTGCCGGGAGCCTGTTCCTGGTGGAAAACAGGGGGCGTCTGGCCAAGGGAGCAGCGGCTCGCTGAGACTCAACATGACCCTCCTGGGGGCTGAGCATTCTTTGCTGATTAGGAGCAAGTTCAGATCAGGTAGGGCTAAAGCATTTAGCATTTCTTCCTAAACTTTCCTCCTCTGCACTTCTCAACTCTAGACTGCTTTCCAATAAATGTCTCAAGGCCGGCCGTGGCTACTTCAACCTTGGTCCCCAAAAGCACATTTTGGAAGTGAAAATTTTATTTGACTTTGGGGGCCTTTGATGTCTTCCATTTTACATACTGTGAGTTGATGAGTGTGTTTTTTGTTTGTGGAAAGGCCAATCTTTTCGTTTTATTTATTTTTTCTCTGTATCGGTGAATAGAAAATTTGGAGGGGTACATCCAAAAGGAACAAGTTTGAAAATGAACAAATAAGTGATTTCAAGTTTGTGAGCTGCATATTCGTTATAATGCTGAGAAGAAGAACCTATGCTGTGTATTAGATTACAGGGGTCACTTAAAATGTAGCTAATCCAAACAAATATATTTCCCAAAAAAAGTCACTCGGGGGAAGTAAAAATAGCAAATTTGTTGCACACCAAGTATTTAAAATGACATCACTGTAGAAAAAAAAAATCCAGTGCCACAAATATTTTTTCCCAAACCATCTGATATTTATAAATGGAGAATTTCCCCCAAAATTTCTGTGTTAGTAGCGCGTAGAGAAACTTCTCAAAGGACGCTGAGTGAAGGTGAGTGGAAGGGAGAGATGGGACTCAGAAGGGTTGGTGTAAGCGCCCATGGAAGGTATGAATGTGTGCGCTCCGCAGAGACTTGTCTCCTTAAGTTCCTTCTCCATATCTCTGCGTATCATACTGGTTTTATAAAAGCGGTGACAAACCACTCAATAAATGGCCGAACTCCTATTTAGAAGATGAATTACTATATGAGAACTCTGATGTGAACATTCCGCGTAACAGGTATGAAAAGGATGCTGATCTAGTTTGCTACGTTTTCCTGAACCTTTCTAAATGGGACCACTCAGTGTTTCACTGAGGATGGACAATGAGAAGAATGGATGCTAAAAAATAAGGGTTCTGTGACTTCCTTAGTTGCTCCTGGCCTTTAGGTTGTCTGTGGGGTCAGTTGGAGATTGTCATAGGCTCTGTACTGTTGAAAGGAGATGAAAACTCGAGAGCTTAGGTGGCCACAAGACTCAGTACCCTGACGCTCTGGGGCGCGTCTGCCAGCCACTTGTGGTTTGGCTGTATGGTTGGTTACCTCCTTCTTTCCCTTCCCATGGTGAGGTGAGGTGGGTTGGTCTGTTAATCCCCAGGAAACATGCTACTGCTTTGTAATTTGGTCAAAACCGCAAGGCAACACTGCCACCTTTCTGAAGAAGAGAGACTGCAGATTTATTTTGCAAGAAGCTTCATTGGTTTCAAAGGCACCCTTGCCAGTTCATGTGGGTGGCAGGTTTGCCTCTAAAAGAATTTGGTGAGGGTACTGGATAGAATTGCAAAACAGACTTATAAACAAATCCTTCCTTCCTAAAGTGCAGGCCAGAGGGAAGACAGTGTTTGCACTGCTCAGAATTCCTGTCTTAGTGGACTGGTAGAGTCTTGGTGTCTCCCAGGTAGATCCTGGAGCTCCTGAGAATTCCAATTGCTGCCTCGTATTTTTAAAGTTTGGACAGGCTCTTGTGTCACAGGAAGGGTAGCTTCAGGAAACATGATGTCAAAGCAGACACAGGCAAGCTCCATCCTCCACCTTTGATAAACAGGGAAGTTGCGTTCTGGAAATGGACAAAGTAGTCTGATCATCTGATGTGCAAGGGGCTGATAATCTGAAAGACAGAAAAGAAAAACAAGCTGAATATAAAACTAAGTAAATGTCATATGGAGGACGGTGATTATTCTTTCTGGATATAATTACAACTATAGCTGCACCAGCACAGAAGTCTGGTTGGCAGCATACTAACCGAAGGGCCTGCCTCTTCCTAAGAGAACTTGGTTTATTTTGTGGCTAACAATGGATAAGGAAGGCTTCTTCTGTTTTGATTTCTCTCTCTCCCACTCTACCCTGCCCCCCTCCCCATTTTCTTTTTTTTTTTCTTTCACGAGCTACTCAAAATGTAAACTCATAAAACTCTATCTCAGTGCTAATGTTTGCTTTGGTAGTAAGTAGATCCTGGTGTTACATATTTCATTAAAAACATTTCAAAAAAAATAAAGGAAACTAAATTGCTCTCTGATCATAGCGAGACTCCCTGTGTTACGGGGCTTATTGATCAATGAGCAGATAACTGCTTTGACTCTGAAATTGACAAGTTTGGCAACAGCGTCCAGCCAGCTTGATGTAAGCTGTATACGGGTGACCTTGTTATTAAGCACAAAATCATGTCACAGGAGCAGTAAACTGTGAGAGTTTACATGTATGAACATGTTTAGTGACATAAACTCTTCTTTTTTGAGAGGCCACAGGGTTGAGTGTGTGGGTCTAGCACCAAACTAGCTGGGTTTTTAACAGGCGCCTCTACTTACTAGCTGTATAACCTTGAACCTTAGATAAACTACATAATTCTCTCTGCCTTAATTAGCCTCGTTTGAATAATGAGAATGATTATAGGGTTGCTGTGAGGATTCAATGTGATTATACAAGTAGAGCACTAAGGACAATGCCTGGCACTTAGTAAGCCCTCAAAAAATATCGTTTTATTCTTAATATTGTTAGGCAGCCAGGGTCTGCGTTGGTCACTTCCTTTCTGAGTCTTGGTTACTTAATCTATAAATGTCAAGGTTGGACTAGGTGATTTCTCAGACCCTTTAGTAACATTTTATGGTTCTCTGAAAACATGTAAAGATTTGGAACAAGGAAAATTGTGATTGGGCTATGTGGCAGTTGGGTGCAAATGGTAGGCAGTTCAAAGAAATATGATAAATAGTGTTACTTTTTAACTACCTTTTTACTGTTTTTAATCTTTTCACTGTTGTTTTGTCAATATCTGTAATCAGTATCATTGTCAACAATTTTTCTCAATACCATAATCCTGTGTCAACAAAACACAAGGACTTCTATGCATGTGTGTACACACACACACACACACACACACACACACACACACACACACACACCCCAAGCACAAAGGCTCAAAGGTAGAGAGGGAGGGCCATTAACGGATTTCACTCTTTAAGAACTGTTGTGTTTTGTTGGTTTGTTTCTCTTTTTCTCCTTTTCCCATTCAAACAGACCACACAAAGGCAGGCTCTGATACCTGCCATGACCTTTCTTCTATCCCTCACAAATGTAGGGTTGTCAAATTTAGCAAATAAAAATACAGGAGGCCCAGTTCAATTTGAATTTCAGATAAACAATGGGTTTGTTTTTTGTTCGTTTGTTTTTTGTTTTTCATCCTGTAGTATTGGGGACTTACTTTTAACTGAAATCCAAATTGAACTAGGCATCCTATATTTTATCTGGCAACCCTACCTACCTCCATCTGAGCAGTCTTTGATCGATGCTCTCTGCTGCCTCCATCAAGCTTTCCAGAGTCTGGGTGCCCAAAGACTTCCCGAAATGCAAACTTGGCACTTTAGGTGTAAAGGCAGAGACTCAGAATGAAGAAGCTGTGCCATCGTAGGAACCTTGGGTCCCCTGAGGTAGAGTCAGCATATGGATTGGGGAAGGATGTAGGAGCTTCCCTTCTGGCTTTCTGGGGAGGAGGAGGATACGCTCAGTAGACAGGCTGCTCAGGAGCAGGGACTCCAGGGCTTGGGACTGCAGCTGAAAGAGTCAACGAAGTTGGAAAGTAGACGGTGGACAAGCAACAGCCGAACTCAGCGAAGTGCTGGGTGGTGGAACACACCATATTTTTCTACCCCCAGCTATATCCAAGAAAGCACCTCCAGAGTCTGTAATCACTGTTTGTCCTTCCAGAGAAAGCAAGGGACATCTCAGGACTCCACAGGTCACTCTCTCTGTGCTTTCTCTGTCCTCCATCCTTTATTTTTATTTATTTATTTTTTTTTAAGATTTTTTTTTTAATTGGGGAATTGGGGGGATG